AGGGCCACATACCTGGCATATTGAAAAAGCAGACAGACTGTCTCCACTACAGACCTCCTGACCACAGTCTGTGAACTGGGGCCTAGTAAACTGAATTTTACTTTTTATTAAAGTTTCTTGCTTCCTTTTTTTTTTATTTTTAGAGAGTTTTGGCTATAGGGCATGTGGGCTCGGTAAAGAGAGACAGAGATACAGAAAGCTAAACATCATCCCCCCTAGGAGGGATGCCCATGCTGCAATCCTCCATCCTTCTCTCTGGATCTTGGGCACGCACACACATGCATCCGGCATGAGTTTCAAGCTGCTGGGTCTGGGACTCAAACAACAGTCACCTACATGGGAATCTAGCAATGTAACTATTACACCATCTGCTGGTCCCTTCAGTTTATTTATTTCATGAGGAGACAGGCACTCTTTAAAGGGTTGCAAATCATGGCATGGCCCCCACCCTGCTCTCTGAACTAGCTGGGATCATGTGTGTCCAGCATATACAGGTTGACTCGTGAACTGAACTTGAGATTTTCCATATGGTGCTAGCATTGCTTGAGCAGTACAAAACCACTGTGCCACTGAGCCTGCCTGGAATCTACATTTAAAATAAGCAGTTACAATGTCTTTAAACAATCAAACTGTACTGGGCCAGCAGGTGGCACAGTGGTTAAGGGCACTGGACTTCCACATGTCAGACCTCGGTTTGAGTCCTGGACCTGGTGGCTTGCTTTTTCACTTTCCCTCTTTCTTTCTCTGTTTCTCTCTTTCTCTCTCTTTTTTTCATTCTGTCTTTCTCTGGTCAAATTAAAATAAATAAATAAAGTTAAATAAAATAATTATATAAAAAACTGTATTATGGAAACTTTCAACTGTGTACAATAGTAAAGATAATGTACTTGTACTCAGTCAATCTACAACCAATCTTGTTTCATCTGTATCTCTGCCCATTGCTCCTTATTCTTCACCTACTGGATTATCTAGAAGCAAATCTCAGCTACATCATGTCATCTATAAATGTTCCAGTATGTAGCTAGGAAAGATGAAGACTTACATAAAAACAAAGCATGTTTTAAAATTCCTTATTTGCATCAAATAGCCAGTTAGCACTGAAATTTCCCACATTTTCTCAAATTTAAAAATACTTACTTAAATCAGGTTATAAGCAAGGTCTTACACATTGTCTTTGGTTGCTCCATCTCTTGTACCTGTTGAAGTCCAGGCATCAGGAGAGACCAGTTGCAGCCTGAGTTTGAGCAGATACTGACTAAAGGAGAAATTAGAAGACCCTCGGCTCTCAGCCTCATCATAGGACCATTTCTGATTGTTTTATAGCAGAAGACTCAAAACTCTGTCCAGATCACAGCAATTTTTTAAAAAGTTGGTAAGATCATCAACAACAGGGTGGAAGAAGAGAACTATAGATTGTTAAAGAAAAAAGAAGGTCTGGGAACATCAAATAGCCTAATGGTTATATTGCTGGACTCTCACATAGTTGACCATGATTCAAGTCCTGAACCCAGAGGCTTAAAACTCACGGCAGTTGCATGTGTGTGCATGCCCAAAGTCCCTAGACAAGAATGGAAGAAAAGAGATGGCAGTGTGGCCATTCTCAGGGGGTGGGGGGTACTTCTCACTTTCTGTCTGGTGAGCGCATGTGCCCTTTTGCAAAAATTTCTCTTAAAAAAAGGGGAGGCATGAAATTGTCTTAAGAATGGCTTGGTAACTGTACCTTGGTTATGGGGGTGGGAACAATCTGAAAAGCTATAAATCACCTTTTGCCCCTTTAGGTAAGCAATATATGATGAAGTGGCCAGCATCACACCTGGCACATGACAACCAAGACGGTTTTTACTTCTTCAATTGTCTTGACAATTTTGCTAAGATACTAGAACCTCAAACAGAGGCAAATCTTCAAAAGAGAAAGAGGTCTTCCCAAGTTACCAACTTTTCTTTACTCAATTATAACTGTGACTGTTGTCAATTATCGATGGCTTACTAAAACCAGGCCATGCATCTCACAAGGGTGGTACACAGATCTTGATAGTCATTCACTGAATGAATGAACCAGAATACTGAGTGCTTAACATTTAAGATTAAGACTACTGAGTGATGGATTGGCAGGTGGCATGGAGGTTAAAGGCACTGGATTCCCACATGGCCAACCGTGGTTTGAGTCCCAGACCTGGAACCTTTCTTTCTCGCTTTCCCTTTCTCTCTCTCTGGTCGAATTAAAAACAAACAAACAAAACAAAACAAAACAAAAAAGGAATTAAATAAATACTTTTTGTTTTGGAAAAAAGAATTATGACTGCTAACATTCACAGAAACTGCAACTGTACTATGATCCTTTACCAAATAATTTTAAGAGCTAGGAATTATGGAGCTTTTACTATGAACTCATAATCTAAGTGCTTTATGTGTATCATTATCTCATGAATCAGTACAACTGCTCTGTGAGTTAGGTACTATTATCCTCATTTTACACAGCCACAAAGTTGAAGCAACTCCCCTAAAAACACAGATTATAACTGATGGGACTTGATTCAAACCTGAGCAACCAAAGTGGTTAACTGTAGTACTTGCTGGTAGACAAAGCCAGTCCCAACCCTTCCAGGTACAGGTTCTTGGCAAGAACAGGTCCAAAATGGCAGGTTTAGAGGTACTGTGTGATTACACAGACTTCCTCACCTTTTCCCATCCCCAACATTGATGCTTGACTTTGCTCTGCCTACGGACAATGCTGCCAACCAGGTAGGATGCAAGTTACCAAAGAAATATCATCAATCTACAGGATGGTTTTGGGAGCACACTGGTTTAGCTCCTTTACTCGTTTGTCAACACTGTTAACTGCCTCGTGTTTGTGCTCATCCTGAGAACAGGCATCTTCTAGCTTCTTGGGCAGATTGCAGGAGAGTGTTGGCTTGTTTGGGAGGTTCTTCCACTTTCTTCTTCCACGGAAATTATTCTACTCCTTAAGGTGGTAGGAGCAACAACTCTCGCTCTCAGGTCGCATAAATCTGAGAATGAAAAGCATTGCATACAGAGCTAAACTGATAACCTGGAGATGGGTCAGAAACTTGGGAGCGCTTGGGAGTCAGTTCCCCCTTCCCCCCCCCCCGCGGAATCAAGTATAAGCAGACTTTCCAGGTAGAGAAGAAAGCATAGAATTTGCAGGGCCGGAAACTCAAGAGTCCTTTGGTCAGGCTGACCTTAAGCTCCAACTCGCAACCCCAGCAGGTTTCTGTGCAAAAACCTTTCTGAGATGAATGCATGCATTGTCCTCTAACAATGCAGACGTGACAGCTGCCTATCCGATAACTGTTCCGCCTCCTTCTGAGCAGTTCGTGCCACAGAGGCATCTCCTGCGCTATCGTTATGCAACCTCACTCGCAGCGGGAGTTATTTCCTGTGCTTCTGGCTGCGCCAGATTCATGTAACACGCCTACCCCGGGCTTCAATGGAAGTCGTTCTCCATTAACAACCACTCCAGCTTTTGGAGATGAATGCCCTGCACAGCATACCCCTTGCGCAGTAAGAATCCGGGCAGCGAGGTATTGAAACACACACACACACACACACACACACACACACTCCCTCTCTTTAAAAGACATACACAATCCATCGTGCCTGCAGCGAGGGGGCTGCAGCAATGCAACCAGAGGGACAGCAGGCGGAGCTCTCTTTGCAGTCTCTGCCTGTAACCCCCCACTAACTAAAGACGAACTCCTGCCAGTTCCATTCTTTGCTCGGCAAGAAAAAAACACATTCACACACGGCCGAACAGAGTGGCCTCCAAATTCTCGTCCCGAGCACCCTGTCTTTCTAGGCCGTTCTTCTAAACAACCCGGACATTCCAAGCCGAATAACGGGGAGCAACGCGCGGCAACAATGCAACCTCCCAAGCAGCTCCCCTTGCAGCTCACACCCCCGCCTCCCCTCGCAGCGTGCCAAGAGTTTGGAGCGCGCGCACGCACATCGAGCACCGCCCGGTGGCGTATCCCTCCGCCTCCCTCCTCTCTCTGCTCAAGTGGCTCGACAACGATTTGGGAAATGAAGGGAGGAGGGAACTACTTTCCTGAAACTTGCTATGCTGCACACGACTTCGAGTTGCAGTGATTCGCCCGGAGGCCGCAGCCTCCAGTCGTCCGTCTACACTCCCTCACGCCCGGGCTCCCCACGCGGCAGCCCCACCCCGCGCCCGCTCCGGCCCCGGGGGAAGCAGGCAGCCGGGACAAGTCGCCAGGGACTACTTCGCCTCCTGCTCTCGCGGGCGCCCCCGGTTCGGGCAGCGGCGGCGG